CTATATAAGATTTATTAAAATAGTTAAGTTATACTTATAACTCCATCTCTGTCTCTTTCTTTTGGATATAAAAGAAAGCAACAGGACTGAAAACTGTTGTTAAGGGTTGGCTTTTATTAATGATTTGTTGCTGTGAGTCTGCACAGATACACAGAGTATCTGAACCAGCATGCTTCCTTTCCTTTCTTGGGAACTGCCATTCAAAGAAAGGATGTTATGGCCTTGACAATCATTCACGTCTAAAAATAGTGCTAGGTAAAAATTCCACATATGATAACAATCAAACAGTGGGAAAGTTACCAGCTGAATCCAAAACATCCCCTTTCTTGGCATGCTGAGTAACAAAAATCTGTTACTTCTGGAACAAGCAACTGAGGCAGAATAACAGTACTCACACAAACAGGTAGTGTCCAAGACCACATTTTGCACTGACAAGATAAAAATGCCCAACTGTGGTCAATGACAGCTAATGGAGGGCCAGGAACAAAGAGAAGGAAAGGGATATACAGCAGAGACCTTCAAGGTTTGCAAGTCTTGGCAAGGACCCTGAAGACAATGAGAATATGTTTCCTACAGTCATAGAATTCAAAGCAGACTTAAAACTAATGCTTCTTTCCATTGTCCTCTCTCCGGGTTGCACAAAGCGTGTGAGGTTTCTAGAAAAGCATGTGCCTGTATATCAGAAAGGGAAATTACTGTCACAGCTTCCACAACTGAAACAATGCAAAACAAAATGAAGGGAACACCACGATCCAAATTGTCTCTGTCTGAAGGCCAAGTGGCAGCTTCTGCAACAACTGCAGCCAAGTCCCATTCACTATTTCTGAAGCGCAACTGTGCTAACAGAGTTTTTAAATGGCTGACGCAGAGGATCACCTTCTCCAGAGCTTGAATGGAGCTGAGGCGCATGAAGAGCTGCAGGTGCCTGAGGAGAGTCACAGAATCATTAAGGCTGGAAAAGTCCTTCAAGATCATCTGGTCCAAGCATCACCCTACTACCAATGTCACCCACTAAACCATGTCCCCAGGCACCACGTCCAACCTCTCCTTAAACACCCCCAGGGACGGTGACACCACCACCTCCCTGGGCAACCTGTCCCAATGCCTGACTGCTCTTTCTGAGCAGAAATGTCTCCTCTTTTCCAACCTGAACCTCCCCTGGTGCAACTTGAGGCCATTCCCTCTGGTCCTATCACTAGCCCTATCACCTTGTAGTGAGGGGCCCGAAGTTGAACACAGAGAACTTTGCACTAGGGGAGGTTTAGGTTGGATATTAGGGACAACTTCTTTACTGAAAGGTCTGTGAGGCATTGGAATGGGCTGCCCAGGGAAGTGGTGGAGCCACCGTCCCTGGAGCTCTTTACAAGACGTGTAGACGTAGAGCTCAGTGACATGGTTTAGTGGAGGGCTGGTTGGTGTTAGGTGCATAGTTTGGACTGGGGGCTCTTGGAGGTCTCTCCCAGCCCAGGTGATTTGGTGATTTTGTGATTCTGTGACACGGGGGACACAGGGTGGGCACAGGGTGGGCACAGAGGGGGCCCAGGGCGCCCACAGGGCGCCTCACCCCTCAGGGCAGGCGCATCCCCCGTCGCCAAGGTGACGAGCTCCCGCCCTCCCGAGCCGCGAAATCAGCCAATCAGAAGCTTTCTCCCTCCCTTCGCCCCTCCTTCCCTCTCGCTGGCCACCGTCCGTCTTGTTACAGCGCTTCTGATTGGCTCAGCACTCCCCCCCCCGAGACGGGATTGGCGGAGGGCCGGGCGGGCGGCTCCACCTCTCCCGAGAGCCGGGACCGCGGGTGTCGGGCGCGAGAGGCGGGTGCGCGCGCAGGCCGGCTCCCTCCGGGCACGCAGCTCCCTTAAAGGCCGGCGCCAGCCCCCCCCCGCCCCGCGGACCATGTCGGTGTCCCCCGTGAAGCGGCAGAAGATGGAGTCGGCGCTGGACCAGCTCAAGCACCACACCACGGTGGTGGCCGACACCGGGGATTTCAACGGTGAGGGTGGAGGGGAAGAAAAAAGCGGCGGCTCTTAAACACCCCCCCCGTGTCCCTCCCCCCGCGGCGCAGAATGGACGCGCCCGGCCGAGGGGGCGAGCGGCGGAGGGGGAGCGAACCACCGCGGGGGGGTGGGGGGGCCTGGGAGCGCGCTGCCCCCCACAGGGTACGCTGCTCCGGCGCCCCCAGGGTCGCGGGTTCGAGACCCCGGCTCCCTGGAGCCGCCGGGTGCAGCCCCTCGGCAATCCGCTGGGGCTTGTTGTAATTAACAGGCGGTCTGCGGGGGCTCGCTGCTAATTAACAGGCGTGGGGGAGCTCCTCTGATAGCCGCTGTGTGCGGTTGGGTGGTGGTGGTGGGGTGTTGGTGTTTGTTTTTTTTTTGCCCTTCTTCAGAAGGCGGAAGCAAAGCAGCCGTGAGGCAATAAAATAATGCAAGAGGGTTGGTTTCTGGCGTTCGTTATCTGGCGAGGAGGCGCCCTCACACCACAGCCCGGCCCCGCAGCTCCCTGAGGGTCTCACAGGGCCGAGTCCTGCCCTGCCGCCCCTCCTGAGGCAGCCGCCTGCCTCCAACCTGCCTCATCCTGCAGCGAAACATTACAGAGAAATGTTATTTTCCTTTCTGACTGGCACCACAGACAGCTGCAGCACCTGAAGGGCGCAGGGCACTCACACGCCTCTGTCCAGATGAAACGAAGGCAGTCAGGAACAGTAAGTGACAGCTTGAGCCTCGTCAGGTTTACCTGCCCTGGAGTAGCAACAAACAAACTTTGTCAAAGACCAGCGTGTGGTGAAATGACATGAACTTAAGGCATTGCCCTGGCTTCAGAAAAGCATCATGAAGAATCCTCGTGACAGCAGAGGGGTGTTGGCAGTAAGCAGGCTGAGAGCTGCCTGCTGGAAAGTTTTAACGTGCTCCTTGAAATGCTTTTGCAGTTGATCTCTGACTGCCTGTTGTCACCTGTGGATCTTCCTTATTGTGCAAACAAGGCTTCGGGTGACATCTGGCTCCCTCCCTGTTCTGCTTAAACACTGCTGCTAATTAAAGTGCAGTTGTTGCTAACATAATTGTGAGGATCTTAGATAAATGTGTCTGTATGGCGCTTTGTAAGAAAAGAGGCTCGTTTGAACAGTTCCCAAAGCAAGAGACCAACTGCCGACCTCACTTATATCTGCACCAAGTGGTGGTTTGATTCAGGAGCAGCTGCAATAACTTTGCAGTTTTAAGCAAGCCGCACCAGCCCATGCTTACTCTTGCACAGTCTCCTTGTACTCACAGTGGCACGCCAGTCACAGCTGCCCCCTTGCAAAAGCTTGTACTGGGCAGCTGAAATACAGGCTGCTTCCCACAAGACCACTTTTTTTGAAACATTTCCATCAGCCACATTACCCTCACATTGAACCGGCATCTGGAAAATACTGAGTAACCGTATCATTACCAGTATGTCCTCAACATCCACTGGAATACCTACCTAGCCCTCTACAGGGGAAAATAGCAGTTTCTTGCCTGAAATGCTTAATTGTCCTGTTTAGGATGGGTGACAGGCTTAGTGAGATTACTTTATGCATCTTGCCAGAAACCCATAACATTCTTTTAACTACTTCAATACTGTAGAAATGTAATAAGCTGTCAAAAATACACTTTTCTAAAATTGTGCATCTGCTTCAGAACATGGTTTTCTAAATGCACCACTTTATTCTGAGCAGCATCCCTGTGAATTAGTGTTTTTTGAAAGATGTGTTTATATGGCATGAACTTGTTCCAGGATCACAATTGTTGCCCATGGGGATGTTATTTAAAAAAAACAAAAAAAAAAACAATATTTTTCTTCTATTTCTACAAAAACCGTCATATTCTATTAACTTGTGTTTTAATCCCCAGGCAGAAATGCAGAGGAAAAGGAGCTGATAATATTTTGTTGTTCTGGACATTCAGCTGTGTTGGCTCTGGTTGACTCTCTGGGGCTTGTAAGCAGCAGTCACCGAAGGGCCTGCAGAGGCACTGACCCGTTTGCTGAGTCAGACCCGGCATGCTGGGCAGCTCAGCTCTGATTAGGGCCTGACAATGCACAGTCACAGCCTGCTTTGGTAAACAACTGCTGCCACCTGAAATAGGTGTCGTCCAGGGATTAGGATAAGCCAAACATACAAACGTCTTACATACAAAAGGCAGCCTGGCAGTATAAGGAACTTATAAGACCTGACAAAAAAAAAAAAACCTACCTGCAACTACTTGAAGTTTTAAAATGCTAAAAGACACTAACATTTTTTTTGACAAATGAATTTTTCTTTTTCTCTTGCTCTAACAGTTGTAGACAAACAAACCCCCAAATGCCTAGCCCTAAAAGGGAAGAGATTTCTTTGTCTTTACTTTCTCCTGTAATTCCTGTAATTCAGCATATTCACCATCAGCTATGATGGTGAATATGACATGAAGGTCTAGTATCACTTCTCTTCATCTGTCATTTCTACAAGTTTATTTCTTTTGGGTAATGCCTGAAGTAGTGAGTAAGCTTTGCTCTGTTGTATTGCTGCGGTGCTGTTAGCCTTATAGCAGTAGTTCTGATGCAAGCCAACATTCAGACAGTGATATTTGAACATCACCATATACTAGTCTGACCTGTCACAAGTACAACTACCCTATAACCATAAGTGTTTTCATTTTTACATATCTGAGCAAAATCCTTTTAATATTTTAAATGAGCTCTTTTTGTTTCCCTAGCAATTGATGAGTATAAGCCCCTAGATGCCACCACAAACCCATCTCTGATACTAGCTGCAGCTCAGATGCCAGCTTACCAGAAACTTGTGGATGATGCAGTTGCATACGGAAAAAAACTTGGAGGGTAAGAAAAATGTTGTTGTTCACCTCCCCCCTGTAGGTCTATATTTAAGACAGTTCATTTATGCAAGTAGTGTTTAGTGCTACTAGCAACATACGAGGGCTTTTCCCCCTGCGTGCTTGTAGGTTTATCTCCTGTACCAGAAAGCCTCAACCCTAAAGAAAAGCTGCTTGTTACAAGGTTCAGTTTATCTCCATTTATCAGTTCTCATATAGCCTTCTAGGACTGCTCCAGAAAACATTCCTGAGTTGACAGCGTAATAGGAAATAGTGTCTGAAGGCTAATATTATTGGTGGTACACAGAGAGCAGAACAAACATGGAGCAGAGCAGAAGTGGTTATTTGAATGTTAAACAGACTGTGAAATTTGATCTTGAAATCAGTGGCAAGTACTGAACATGCTACCCTCCCCCATAAAAAATGATTTTGTTCTCATGTTTTTTAGGTCAGAAGATGAGCAAATACAAAATGCTTGTGACAAACTTTTTGTATTATTTGGAGCTGAAATATTGAAGAGGATACCTGGCCGCGTGTCCACAGAAGTAGATGCAAGGTTTGCTCTCTTTCCTCTGGGTTACCCTGTATATTTGTGCCTACAAAAAGGGATGATGTGAGCTGAAGAAATATGTTCTTGACTGGACAGTTCACTGTTACAGGAGTACCAGGAGCTTGTGTTGTTAATATTTAGACAATGAATTGCAGTTCATTTGCTTGATCAGGACTTTGTTATAACTTGGTGACAAAACTTCATAAGAACAAGTAATGTAGAGATCTGATCTTTGTTGTCCTCCTTCTGGTTGTTAGTCAAGGGAAACCCTATGCTTCTAACATACCTCGAACTTTACTCATTCTCTTGTGTGATAGTCCTCAATTTTCCAAGAGATCTGCTTTAGCAATTTATTTAGTGACTTGCATAGGATTTGTCTGTCGATGTGCTCCTTGTAAAAGCTGAGCCTTAGAAGTGACTTTACATTCATTATGGAAAAACTTGAGGAAAATATAACTGTCAGAGAAAGTTACGTCGAACTCCAGATTCTCCGAATTAAACAGTAGCAGTGCTGCGTCATGGCTACTTGACAGTCAAGGAAGTATCTCTGAGAAGAAAAACCTGCTACTAGTACATAAATTCTGTTAACGTAGTACAGTGGTTCTGAATGTTGTTTCTTTTGGAGAGTGTTTTTTAATAAAACTTAAGAAGTCCTACTCTTGTTCCAAAGGTTGTCCTTTGATAAGGAAGGAATGATTCAGAGGGCCCGGCGTCTTATTGACCTTTATAAGGAAGCAGGAATTGGTAAAGATCGGATTCTCATAAAGCTCTCTTCAACATGGGAAGGAATCCAGGCCGGCAAGTAAGTACTTCTGTTCCTGGTATGCTGATTCATAGTATGCTTCTGGCTGTTTGGCCACTTAAACACGTTCTACACATAAAACAAAGTATTGTTTTGAAAGCACTGCACCAGGAAACTTGTTGCCAGGGCTACAGCTAGCAAGTGTGGTGCTATACTGAAGCTTCCTGCTGAATTGGGAAAAGTTTGTTCATACAAGGGCTGGGCCATTTGTAAACAGTTTCCTGAAATGTTGTGTTAAGTCATCTGCATTTGGTTTAGGAAACACTATTAAACAGATCACCAGTAGTGCAAAACATTTGTTTTGCTACCTTTACACTTTTAAAGCTTAATTAGAGATGTGGTACAGTTTATAAAGTCAAGAAATCAATAGTTTAACCTACTAACATTGCTAGAATGTAAGTTTATTAGGTAAGGAAAATGCCATTTAAGCCTGCCTATGTCTGCAGGGTTCTGGAAGCAGAGTATGGGATTCACTGCAACATGACCTTGCTGTTCTCCTTTGCCCAGGCAGTTGCCTGTGCTGAAGCTGGGGTTACTCTGATTTCCCCATTTGTAGGACGCATCCTGGATTGGTATGTTGCAAATGGAGATAAGAAAACCTATGAACCTTCAGAGGATCCAGGTAGGCTTCCCCCTCCCCCCCAGCTCCTCCTTTGAACTGCAGTTTACTTCTAAAAATCCCCTTGTGAAACAAATAGCTTTCAATGTGTTCTAAATAATTATTTGTGCCTCAAATGAATTATTCTGAAAATTACCAATTTTTCTTCTTTAGGAGTGAAGAGTGTCACTAAGATCTATAACTACTACAAAAAGTTTGGCTACAAAACTATTGTGATGGGTGCTTCATTTCGAAATACGGGAGAAATAAAAGCGCTTACAGGCTGCGACTATCTCACTATTTCACCCAAGCTTTTGGCAGAGCTCAGCAAAGAGCATGTCAAGCTAACTCCCACGCTCAGCGTTAAAGATGGTAAGTCTACTTCTACATAATATAGGCTCGCTTTGACTCCTTTTCTTCTTGAGCATTAAGAGTATGCGTTTCCCCTCAGCTCTATGCTGCCAGTTTCCATTCTAAAACTGAATGTTGACCCTTCCCCAAAAGGGTCACGTTACTGTACTACCACCACTGCTTATACATAGTTCCTTAGGGTCTTGGGTCTGAGTATGCTAACTGGAATTAAGATGGGTTTTGAGCACCTTCCCCTGAGAGGACAGGGAGAGAAGGAACTTCATATATTTGGGATGACTTTTTACTGATTGTTAACAGAGATGCCAAACAGGGTTTAATCATTACGCTGATACTGTATCAGATAATTGTTAGCTCTAGGCATGCTGAAAGATGTTTTTTTCTACAGAAACTTTAGAAATGAAGTAATATGCAAGAATAATTTTTCTACTGATACTAGGCCACAGTAGTTCTGAGTGTATGTTCCCATTGCTTTTGCTTCTCCATTGCCTTACTTAAACATTTCTTCTCAACCCAGATGATGAGATTTGCACAGTTGTTGTCATGGGTTGCTGCTTACAGGGTGCTAGCTAGCTTGTAGGCACGTTATCAATTGAGCTTTTGTTAGGTGCTTGCCAAATAATCAAAGCCTTAATTGTTCAGCATATTTGCTTAGAATATCTTGCTGTGGTAGGACCATTGCATAATTCTTGATAATAGGCCTGAAAGTACTGTGCCATTCAGAAGCAGATACAAGATAAAAGCATACCTATGAACACTGTGTTTTAAGGGAGACAGATTTCTGTATAGCCTTTTTTCAGAACACAGTGTAGGAACACTCTCAGTCTTACAGCCCAAAGTGTGTTCATGCAGCAAGTCTCATTGAAAGTAGTACTTGAAACTTTTCAGCAGTTGTCGATGGACAGAACTTTGAGATACCTATGGTTTTTGATAGCAATCTGATAATACAATTTTGTCTCTTTTTGAATTTCCCTTGTGCAGCTCAGGCATGTGATCTTGAGAAGATCCACCTGGATGAGAAAGCATTCCGCTGGCACCATAATGAAGACCAAATGGCTGTGGAAAAACTCTCTGATGGGATCAGGAAATTTGCTGCAGATGCAATAAAGTTGGAGACAATGTTAAAGGTAGGTGCTATGTCATACTGCCTCTTTCCACCTCTCATGTTCCTTCAAGTACTGCAGCTAACCCTCAATTGCTTGTGGTATGGCAGAAGATTAGGAATGTGTCAGCAAGCCTGATCAAGTTTTGTACAGGTAGTACATGTTATGTAGGACAAGCAGCTAGTAGACTGGACACCTCCATGGAATGAACTCTTTATTTTTGAGATGCAGTGAAGTTTATATTCATGCCAGGTGTATATAGACACACCTGTTTTTTAGGCCTACGGCAGTGTTTAGAGTAGCAGCTAATCAAAATAACACTATTCGCTAAGTGAAAGGTCTAATTCTAGACTGGTATCACTGCTGACAGTTAACATCAATAATCTTCAGAGAGTAAGTTAGAAATAGTACATGCTTGTGCTCCTTGTAGGAGGCACCAAGCACAGATAGGAGTAAAGCTAGGACATGTCCTACACTGACAGAAACCTTTTACAAGTCTTTTAGATGGGATTAACTGAGTTTTGTGCTTTGGGGGGTAGGAATACACTAATTATGTCATCTAGGCCCTTGTTGACTGACAACTACTTAACAGTGACTTAACTTACATTACTAAAGCACAGCGCAGTTCCCAAACTGCCACTTATTTGTTCACTTCTCTCTTTCTAGGAGCGAATGTTCAGTGCTGAAAATGGAAAGTAGGAGTCAGAATTCTCCTGACTTGTCAAGGCTGAATGAGTGGATCACCAGAGGTTAAATGGATGTACAAATGTCTTACCTGTAAAAGTCTTATGCTGTGTATGCATAGATTTCTGTATTATGCTTTTTTATCAATTTGCAAAGGGACAAATAACTTCAATTTTTTTGTGGCACTTTTGTCAATACATGCCAATTAACACATACTTTCCTTGTAATGTGTTCACTGCTGCAGGGGGAATCAGGTGATTCAGCTGACATGATAGTTCAATTTCTACTAGAATATTGATATTACTGATTGTATTAAATTCCTAATTGTAAATTTATACTTAACACATTAAGAAAGCAATTTTCTTTCATGTCATCTTACAGTGACTTAAAAAAAAGACAGATTTCCACAAATCTCCCATTTTCCACTCTCTATGGTACATGCCCAAAAGTACTCTTATCTAACACATGTACAATAGAACAATGGCTCCAGTCATTTGTCTTCTCTCTGCAACTAAGGTGGCAGCAGCAATTTACTGATTGGCAAAAATGGTGAAGCATTTTTAAAGTTTTTTTATTATTTTTTGTCAGGGGAACAGAAAAACAGCATCATAAGCAGTTTTTAGGGATTTTGTCAAACACTTGCCTAAGAGCCCAGGGCAAGGTAAGAGCATAAGTGCAATTGATTGAAGCTGAAAATGGCACTGCTATTACAACACCAGCATAAGCTACAACTTGTGTGATATTACTGAAGGTTACCCTTTTCAAAACTAGATAGCTAAGTCTCCAAAGCAGTTAATAAATAACTTTTAACTGTTTAATCTGAACTGACAAAATGAATATGTGGATATAACTCAAGATTGTTTGTTACAGCTTTGTTTCAGTCAAGTGTTACACATTTGTGTATCATCTTTAGAGCAAGTTACTGTATTTCTTTATGACAGTTAGGGAACTGCTGCCAACCTTATCACCCAGATGACTTAAAAAGAAGCCACAAACCACTAAAAACACACCCTCTGTATTACTCCCTCTGTTCCTTTTTGTCTTTAAGCTTCCTTCTTTGTATAAGAAGGAGAGCTGTACATCAGTCTCCCTTTGAGGAATAGCACTTCCCATTACAGGGCTTTCTGTTAAGTAGGGATGCATCTGTTTACATTTCATGGCATATTTTGTGAAGACTAATTAAATATCTTATTGATTCATATAGGTCCAGTTCCATCAAGCATAGTCAAGAGGTTCCTGTCTGTATGTAGACACATTTAACTATTTCCTTATCAAGTGGCCTGAACTTAGCCTTTTAAAAAAAAAAAAAACAAAACACTAAGGCTATAATAGTTATACACAAGCAATATCCTGCTTGAATAACACAAGAAAAACAAGCCAAGGGAGCAAGGGGTCAGTAAGATCAGCCTGACACTTCAGCAGTCTTGTCAGAACATTGCCATAACAAACTGGAAGCTGTTGTTTCAACTAAACTGACAGATAATTGTATGCTCACAAACCAGATGTAGAATTGTGCCAGACATGTCTACATAGTGCTGCATGTGGCCTGCACAGGACTGGGAAAAGTGCCAGGCTATCAAGGGGAGATGAAACTGCCTCACAGGATGGTTCCAGCCACCTTTGCTCTCAACAGCAGCAGGCAACTGTGAGAAGCAGGCCATGGTAGAAAGCATGCGGAGGGAGGTGGCCTCTTTTTCCTCCTTTCAAAGGTCAAGCTAGCATTAAAGGCTTTATACCCTGCCCACACCCCCCTACGCTGTGCCATGCAGCCGTCCAACCTACTGCTGCAAGTCATAAAGTGCCAGTACAGTGATTTAGAGCCCTGTAATCTTTAAAAACAGAATGGTTGAATCCTGAAACTGAACTTAAAGGACTGCAGAGATGCCACTGCCCAAGGCTGTAGGCTGTTTGGATTTCACTTTCTCAAACCATCTGATTTCTGTCCCAGAGCATGAGGAGAGATCCCCAGCTTTTTAGCAGATCACAACTTCCAGAACAAGCAAATTTATTTCCAGCCATAAACAGACATAATACATAGAAGTATGTTATACATAATATACATAAAAGTAAGTTATGACTTCCTCACAGTGGATAAAGCTTTCATCCAGTCACAAATTCCCTGGGATAGTTTGAATAAAGTTGCACACCACTATTGGTTGTCAATCTCTCAATTGCTAACTGTAGACATTATATACCTGCAAGACCATGGCAAACCAGAGATGACACCTGAAAGGTAACAATTCATACACAGGGAATTAAACATGTTTTCTAAAAACTGCTGTTACAATAATCCTGTCAGAATAACTGTCAGAAAA